AGAGTATACTAAACTTTACACATTATATAGGATACACTAACGTGATGTTTGAGCGGTTTGTTTAACTATTATACGTAATGTATGTTTTTTGGGCGGTGGTTAATGAAAGTGTTCCAAAATGCAACATTAATTTCTTGACAACCTAATATATAAAACTGGAGCATACTCAAAATTCCTTTTAAAGACAAAAATCACAAAATTTCTTTAAAATTTATAAAATGATATTATCACTTAACATTTGTTTGTCTAACCTATTAAAGTATTTATTTTATTTCAATGTATACATTTTCATGAAATCTATATCTTCTTTGTCTAACAGCTCATGAGAAAAGCAGCATTTTTTTCACAACTAATAGGTCAACTCTATAAAATTGCACATTAATGTGTCTAATACACACAATCATGTCAAAATTTGCAAAATAACATACCATACAGACGGTTATCATGGACAGATGATAACTGTTGACCAATAATTTTTAAGATTTTCTGCTGTACCTCGCAGTCCTCATTTTTGAATGCTTGAAGCAACCATTCTTGTACTTCTTCCATGTGACTTAAGTGTTGAAGTCCCTCTACAGCTAACACTTTATACGCAAATTCTTTTGGGCATTTGTTTGCAAATGTTATGACATCAGAAATCATAATAGGATTGGCCCAGTTTCCAATGGACTTAAATACATGTGTCATTTTGTCTGAAAACCGACATGAATCATCAGATATGTCTTTCAGTTCCTGTTGTAAGATCAACTTCATCTCGTGTATGAAATCTTCAAATTTCACTCTGCTTCCTAAAGAACCTAGTCCTTCCAGTAGGTGATTAGCAAGGCTAGATTTTTTCTTTCTTAGGTCTTGGTAGTATTTCAAAATCTTCCTGATAAAGTTCTTGGATGGATTGTCAATTGACTCCAGAAGTCTAATTACCAAAAGTTGCTGTTCCTCTGAGAATTTCACTCCAGAAGCAAGAGTCAAATACTCAAACACCACCTGTTGTAAGTAAATGTATAAACAGATTAAAAGTTACTTGAAAATATAACTAAATATATATATATAAAATATGTCCAGTACTATGTTAACACAGAACTAATTATATCAAAATAACTTCCTAAAACATTCCAGTGTGTTATGCACCAAATAAAAAGACAAATTGATATGCATCAGTTTTAATCCAAAATTATTTGCCAAGTACATACTGTGGCTCTGTCCATTCTCTTATAATATCATATTAGTATAGCCTTAAAACACAGATTGTTTTGAAAACTTTGAAACTTACTGTTTCTGCTCTAACTCCACCAGTTAAAGTGATCAGTTGTAAGACAGTCAAACATCTCTGAAAGTCTGCTAGGCTGCAAGTACGTTTTAAAACCTACAAGAAAAAAAAAAAAAAAATACTGACATAAAATAAATTTCTAATAAAGATAGAACTGATTGGAGAATTTTAGTTTTAATAAGAAAATTACTTCACTCATGCTTGAAGAAATTTCTGGGTGCAAAATTATTTTTCATACAAACTCACATCCATAAATACAGAGAGAGATATTACAATTCAACTCAACCCTTCACTAACTCACTAGTTATCTTTTAATTTTATTTAGCTTACTCATTTCTAGATGAATTTATGTTTCATTAGAGAAACAAACAGAATACCCAGTGTAAAACAAATTTTAGGTAAGAGCAAACCAACCAAATGTATGTTAAAGAATGCTATTAGAAACAACAATATCCTGGAAAGTGAAAAGTTTTCTAAATTTCAATAAACTGAGGAACTTTCATAATTTTCACAGGACACTCTTTTCAATGAATATAGCATGAATTAGATATAAATCTTGATAAATATACAAACAAACAGCAAAAACTTATCAAGTAAGTTTTGAGAAAGTTACATAAACTTTCAGAACAAATTATCATAACATAACAGATAGGCCCGAGTTTGCAGGAAAAAATACTTTAAAACAGGAAATGAAACTTTTTTCATTAAAACATGTCTTGCTACTTTTAATAATGTGTGTGCATTGATAGTTTTATTATAAAGATGATTTTAAAGAATTTGGAAAGGATGAATAGAATTATTACTACATATTTTAAGTAAATTACCTTGAAAGATGAAATTTATGATATCAAATAATAATTAATGGAAAAAAACAAATTCCAATCAAAAGTTATTTGAAGAGGGTTCATAAAATACATATAAAAAATTAACAAAAGCTTAAAGCATAATACAAGTAACATCATTATAAAGAAAAATGGTTGAATATATGATGTTTTTAGAGCAATTTTTTTTTTTTAGATTAAGAATAGTAACTGAAGGGTTTCCTATTATCACAAAACTAATATAAATATACTGTCTTTTGGAAACATAAGTTGTTAATACATTAATGTGTAATTATTCTGTTAAAACCACTTGCACATTAATTTCTTACATAGATAAAACTTTTGTTAAAAAAGAAAAAATACTGTTTTGCAATAGGGTTTAAAAGGAATCTTCATTTAAGCTTTGTTAAAAAAGAAAAAAAATTCTTACATAGGTAAAAACTTTTGTTACACAAAATATAAAAGTATAAACAAGAGCTACAATATAATTAACCATGTTACAAGATAAAGTTGTGAAGATGACAAAGCCATTTCTCACAATGCAGGAAAATGAATGATAGTGTTCATGTACCTTAGAGGTGAAAGTGCTCTGCACTGCTCTAACCCATTTTTTGGATGACATAGAATCTGGAAGTTGATGCTCTAGCCCAACAATTTGCATCACCTTTTCAACTAGTAATCAAGAAAAGTTAATTTAATTATGAAAAATAATGCAAACAGAAACTTGTAGTTCATTGTTATTCATCTTCAGTTATATAAAATTATGATTTACACGTAAAAATATATGTTTATAAATTAAATCTACAAGCAATTAGTACAAAGTAAATAGAAGGTAAAATGTATCCACTTCTCTTGTTAGATCTGTGTATTCATATAATACATGTTTAAATAAATGATCACAATCTTGGTTAACAATGACTTTCAGGAAGTTAGAAAGAGTACTATTAGGGATAAAAGTAGTGGATTTAATTGTAATGAGCCAATTCTGTTGAGCAACAGATTTCAGCCCTTGGCTTGAGCATATGAGGAACTATTGGAAGGAAGGGAAACAAAAGGTTAAGAAAATATGATATGGATGATAAACTTAAGGAGGCTATAGTTATAGGTGATTCCTTGACAAGGCATGTGGATAGGATAGTCTGTTGAGTAAATAAGGAGAAAAGAATTAGATTATGCTACCCTGGAGAACAGGTAGAGGATATAACTGACAGAGCAAGAGATATAATAAAGGAAGCTTGCAATGCACAGGTTAGTACATAGAATTCGTCAAATAGCCTTCTAGAAATTCATCCTCTGGTCATAGGGTAACAGAAACTTTTGTAGAATTTAATTGAGGGTAGAAAGTAACTGATAAATGAAAAAATATATAAGAAGTGCAATATTAAAAGAATACAGCAATTCTGCCAAATTGATTTATAGGCAAAGTTATTTCTATTCTGCAGCCACCCCGTTTTGTAGATTCTTATTGTGTCTATAAAACAATACTGGCCAATTATGTTTTTTTTTTCAATAATACAAGTGGAAATGTTATTATGAAGGAAAATATTCTGCATGACTGAACAATTTATAATAAGGTTAGTATCTCTTAAAAAGGATTGAGGGATGAAATTTTATTTTGAGGAAAATGTTAATATCTATTGATGTTCAATTATTAAAAATCTTACATACTGGAAATAGATAGAAACACTATTCACAAATTTAGGAAAGAAATTTCCTTTTCTTATCAACTTGCTTAAAAAAATCAAATACTGCAATAACATTACTGCTTTTTTTACAGATTATATGAGGATGTTAATGTTATCTTTTGTTTTACAATTATAAGAGTTCTAAGTTTCTTGCAAAAAAAATAAAAAATAAAATAGATTGAATAAACTTCAGTTGCAATAAGAAGTATCACTATGTACATACAAGATTTGGGGCTCAGGCTCATAGGTACAGGAATTTGTCATTTCAGTATAATGTTGATCATGGTTTTCTATTCTGATCTTTCAAGACATCAACTTGGAATTCAGGGCACTATCTAATAGAATTGGAGCAACAACAACAACACACACACACAAAACAAAACAAAAAACAACAACAACAACATTTGTCTATTAAAACCTTGACTCAGTGATTGATATTGGTTTGTGTGCTGTTGGCTAGAAGAAGAAAAAAAAGTGTTTTTACAAGCTCAGTTTATTAAGGTGTTTTTATGTGTTGTCATATAGAGTGTAAGCTTTAATTGTTCTAAGAGAGATAATTTTCCAGTTAGTGAACCATAGATAAAGTATTTGAAAGATGAAAATTTTAAATTCAAAATCCAGATTTATATCCTGAACTTTTGCTGTACAATACAATGAAACAAATTAAATAACCTACACATTATAATTGTTATGAACCTTTCAGAATAATACTGTTACGACAGCGGAAGTCACGTGACGCTGGTAACCCATGATGAGTTTCTAGAAGATTCACGAAGAGACGAGATGTACAATTTATATATATATAAGACCGGTAAGAAGTGACGGCTACAATGGAATTGAATTGCAGACAGAGATAGAGACGGACAATTGAGTCAAGCGCGTGAATCGTTCGTTGAGCGTTTGTTTAAGTTAAACTGACTGTGGGAATTAAGTATATTGCAAAGTTGTATTGAGAAAGAATAAAC